AGACTGCTATGCCAGCTTCTCCCCGGATTTCACCGGCTGCGCTTCATTTTATTTGCCCAGACGGGCATGAGTGATGAAATTGGTGCAAGTATCCTACACTCTCTCCATCACCATACACGTATTGAATGGATGGATATGGCAAACAATGAGATTGGTGATGCCACAGTGCATGCCCTGGTGGATATGATGAGGAAGAACACAAGCTTGAGATTGATCAGCCTCGAGTACTGCAAGATCACCGATGATAGCATTCAAGCCATGCTGCAGTCACCAGGCATCATGAGGATGGAGGGTGTACACTTGTACGGGAACCCATGCTCTATGGACAAATTTCAACCTCCATTGTACAATTCCATGCTACGGTATAGCAACTCTACAGTCCTGGAGTTCATCTCGGATTGATTGCAGGAAGACGTTTGCACAACATCAGCATATTCCCAGGTATGTGTTGTACAGTAGTAGATGTACAGTGTTGATCAGTGCATGAAATACGGGTACACCTGTTTGTTGATGAATAATGATGATCAGACAGACACTACACTAGTCACCCTAGCCAGACTCTCAATCTACAGATGTGCGTACTTGACCAGTACCATAAAGTCTGCAGCAAACGTCCACCTCAGCTGGTCTGTACCAGGGAGTAGTAAAATAACAGTATTTTACTACTTCCTGGTCTGTACCAGGGAGTAGTAAAACGCGATGCACACTATCACTTCTGCGATGCGATGAGCGTCGAGCGAAAGTCTTTTTCGAATCGCACGAAGAGTCTTTGATGCACAATGCACGGCACATCGTTGCAGGGCATGCACAGTCCAAAACTGTACGCGAGCTGTCACGTGCGCCCGCCGTGTAGAAAGTGATGCGCATCGCTCGTCGCAGAAGTTGAACTAGGCTCAACTTTCCGCGATGCGACCTGCGACGGAGGTGCGATTCAAAATCTTGCAGAAAAACATTTTGATCGCATCGCTCGTTGCTCATCGCGTCGCATAAGTGATATTGTGCATTGCGCTTTAGCCAGTTAGTTGTAGAATGCCAGTAGCGTCGGTCAGTGTCGTGCAATGTTATGGCATGAGCTGATTGTTCAGTAACATGTAGGCTTTGCACAGCAAAGTCTAGTTAGCCCTGGCACACGCGCAATATTGGCATATTGCTGTGAGTGTGTGTCACGTGACTGTTCCTGCACGATTTACAAGCTGGCAAAATTGTACAGACATCCTGTTAGTGTTATGGTGTCATATCGGAAGACGTGTCTTCTTCAAGCTCTTGAATTGTCGGGATGTGAAGGAGCGTTCCTTTGCGGTTGATTTCTGGATGTGTCAAAATGCAGTTTTAGCTTTTAACCCAGGCCCACGGGTACACACACACAGGTCTGCGGGCATACCTCTGCATACGCACAGGCGCAAGGGCATGCACACGCACACACACACACACACACACACACACACACACACACACACACACACACACACACACACAAACACACGCATGCACGCACACACACACACATTCATGTGCACAAACATAATAGCAGACACTCCCACGTTCCGTCTGTGCGTACAACGACGTACTCACGCACTCACTCACAAGCAATCAACACATAGGTTTGGGGATTGCCATGACTTCATTTTGATTAAATATATTAAATATAATAGTATGTGATGATAGACCAGTTCCAAGACAGCAAACGATAATATTTGCGTCATATCATCACATTCGGTCGTCAGTAATTCGCACCGCCCACCGGCGGCAGACGCACAAATGGCCCACCATCATATTGTATGTGTGTGGTGTGACGCCTCATGCCAGGCAGTTGTGTGAGTTCTTGGCCACTGAGGGCTAGCCTGCAGCTGCCCACCGTGGGCCGGTGACATGAGCGGCTGGGGAGGTCAACAGCCAAGCAACTGAGGGCTAAGTAATCCTGCCCGCTGTGGACCGTTAGCATACTGCCCACCGAGGGCGCACAAATGGCCAACATGGCCAGAAACATGCCCGCTGCGGGCGCATGAACGGCCGCCCAGGCCAACAGCTTACCCATCGAGGGTTAAAGCATACTGCCCAACCGAGGGCGCGAGAGAAGCGTATAGCCCTACCGAGAGCGCATGATTATAGCCCGACCGAGAGCGAGATGATTATAGCCCGACCGAGAGTGCATGATTATAGCCCGACCGAGAGCGCATGATTATAGCCCGACCGCAAGAATAAGCGTATAGCCCAACCGAGGGCGCACGAACGGCCGCCGAGGCCAGAAACCTGCCTACTGAAGGCTAAAGCATACCGCCCAACCGAGGGTGCACAACGGCCGTCAAGGCCAATAGCCTGCCCCCGAGGGCTACAGCAAACTTCCCGCCAAGGGATAAAGCCTAGTACCCACCGAGGGCCAAAGAATGCTGCCCACCGTGGACCGATTATATACTGCCCACCGAGGGCTCAATCATACTGCCTAATGAGCAAACGAACAGCCACCGAGACCGACAACCTGCCCGCCAAGGGCAAAAGCATACTGCCCGCTAGGGCCGACCTCATACTGCCCAGCGAGGGCAAACGAACGACCACCGACGCCAAGAACTCACACAACTGCCTGGCATGAGGCGTCGCACCACACACATACAATATGATGGTGGGCAGTTCGTGCGTCTGCCCCCGGTGGGCAGTGTGAATGACTGACGACCAAATGTGATGATATGACGCAAATATTATCGTTTGCTTTCTTGGAACTGGTCTATCATCACTTTCCTGAAGTAATCAAAATAAAGTCATGGCAACTCCGAACTTATGTGCTGATCGCTTGTGAGTGCGTGCGCGAGAACGTCTTTGTACGCACAGACAGGGCGTTGGAGTGTCTGCAATTATGTTTGTGTACATGAATGTGTGTGTGTGTGCGTGCGTGCGCATGCGCTTGCGCGTGTGCATATGCAGAGGTATGCCCGGAGACCTGGGTGTTTACACGTGGGCCTGGGTTAATGGTGGTGTTAGTGGATATCATAGCGTAACTTGTAGTTCCTTGGTCATTTTTCTTTTCTATTTTCTATATGCAAGTCATTTCTTTGTGTGTTGAATTTGAATACGAGAATGACCGTACTGCCTACGAACTGCCTGTCTTTCCAGAAGGCCAACATGTTTTGTGCGATTTGTGTGCATGTGTGTTTGTGTGTGCGTACGTGTGTTTGTGCATGCATCATTGTGTGCATCGTGTGTGTGTGTATGTGTGTGTGTGTGTGTGTGTGTGTGTGTGTGTGTGTGTGTGTGTGTGTGCATGTGTGTGTGTGTGTGTGTGTGCATGCATGTATAATGTCTTCTTTAAAAACTTTCTATCACTTCCAGCCGTTGCTGAAGGAGTAGGCAAGGACAGAGCTGACGTAATGTTCAAGTTTGATCTACCAACCAACAGTCAATGATTGCACAACTTCCAGAATGGTGTGTGTGTGTATGTGTGCGTGCGTGTGTGTGTGTGTGTGTGTGTGTGTGTGTGTGTGTGTGTGCGGCTCGCCCTCTCATGCTGCAAGGCCCACTGTGGGGCCTGTGGTCGGTGCTGCCGCTCTACTCGTGGATTCCAAATCCATAGCTGCCGAAGATGGCTCTCTCGTCGTGCCGATTGAACATGGTCCCTGATCTCTCGGCAGACTGCCGACTTTCTTGCGTTGCTTATCGTTTTCCATGTTGTCGGCCCCGCAAGGGGACACGTGACCGTAATTACAGGGTTTACCAGGACCAGGTGTGTGTGTGTGTGTGTATGTGTGTGTGTGTGTGTGTGTGTGTGTGTGTGTGTGTGTGTGTGTGTATGTGTGTGTGGGCGTGCAGCACACATCACACTGAGTATTGAATTCACTTGAGTAGAATGTAATTTGTGTGTGTACTGTTTTCACAGATTGTATTGTGTAGCATGCATGACTCTGCTGAAGAAACAGTTCAATGATCAGTTTTCTGCTTATTCTAGGATTTACGCATATAATTCCTCACAGTCAAGTATACACACAAGAATACATGATGTTACTGGTAGTGCAACTGCTGATGTTGCAGACAATACTTCTGTTCATACTGTTGCACACTACGTAGCTCTCCGTCACGATTCTTCTCTTGGTTTTGTTGATGTGGTTATTGTCACCAGCAAGTGCTGAGTACACTGTACAATAGTCTTATAGGTATGTATATACAGTATAATTATACTGATGGTGTTCACTGCTCTTTTGCTTCTGCTCTGATAGTCGATTGCTGATGTACGTGTTTGTCAATATTGACACCAATGCCAGCATTTACTGAAATACATTCATTGTTGCTGGTGGTACGCTTGATCAGCTGTAGCCGGCACTCTGCTGCTCCTAATGACTGTGACGAAGAGTTTATCTAGTCTTGGTGTGATGAGACGCGCGGAAACTCCATTGCTCTCAGTCCACACTGCACCGCGGCCTTTGCTGCATCACCTTATCACACATGATACAGCTGTAATGTATTTCCTTGATCTCAAGCATTAAGTCACGGTCTGCACTGCACCCCGGGCACCATTCCAGAGAGGGCAGTATTACCCCCAATAGAGTGCACCATTCCAGAGAGGGCAGTATTACCCCCAATACAGCGCACCATTCCAGAGAGGTCATTATTTTATTACCCCCAGTACACATAGTACATTGCACCATGTAACTTTGCGGATATCTACTGCATGTAGATGATGTCAAACTTACACTGTACTGTTGGGTTAGAAAGAACTGGGGGGTCAGCCTGGTAGTAGCCTAGAGCATTCCTATTTTCATGTACTATGGTTTATGCACAGTTGAGTTACTGTCTATACATTGGTATGCTGTGCCAGGGTGAAATTCCAGCCTGCATGTCCGTTTTTCACATAACCCAACCGTTCTTCAGCACCCCACAGTACAGCTGTGTGTACTCTTGATGATGTAACCATGCACTGGTCATGTGACTATAGATATTCAGGCAGACACACATGTGCACGCACGAGTGCAGTATAGCTGGCTCAAACGTGCAGCGACGTACAAAACAACAGTAAATAGATGGTAGAGTGTTGATTGCTGTTGCAGGCAAGAACAAAAAGGATAGATTCAATAGATTGGAAAGCTTTCAGTATGACAGCAGGCAAGGCGGGGTGACGGGGAAATCACTGATCACGGTAAACTCACGTCATCTCAATAAAAATGATACGTAAACGGCGGCGGAGGCAGCAGGCGATGGAAAGTAACCCGGTACATGATTCACTACGTGTACTATGCTGAAGATGCTGAGAACAAAACACACACAACACACGCCAACCACACCACGATGGTGTGTGCAGAGCAGTAAAACTGAACATGGGAGGGAGATAAAGTGTGTACTGTGTTGCCATGGTACCCACTGCTGCTACAGCTGTAGATACAGATATTACAGGTATGTAAACAGGAGAATGACGTCATGTCTGCTGCTAGTAATACTATTAGTCTTGTAGTAATGATGAGCTTACTTGCTTACAATAGGTCAGGAATACTAACACATATTCATATGATTACTTCACCATTGCCAGCCACTGGCTATGTAACTTTGTCGTTGTTGCTGTGTTGTATGGGCAGAGCACAAATACTTCACACTTACATTGATATGCAGAGTATCATCTTTGATCACCCATACAACCACGGCTACATAAGCTACCAGACGCTGAGATCACGGGCCGAATGCTTCATGACGTGCATCTTGCCTTGAACCTGTTGCAAAAGACACATACATAGAACACAATGACATCCACTTGGATCATTGTTTCCACAGGCCAATCACTACAGAACACAGAAATGAAACTGTCGGCTCAACCAAGAAAACACAAAAAGCACCAAGGAACTACAAGTTACGCTACGAGAGAGCTTGATGACCTAGACTAAAAAAGCATACAGATGTTAAAAATTCTTATAAATTTCTCCTTTTTTTTAAGACATAACCTGGGATTCGAGCCTGCACTATCGCCCTGCATGCATCCCCCGATACACTTCGCATACGTACTAATTCTTGCAAGTCGCTTCCCGTTATGATCTTGCATTTGAAAGCCCTATTTGAATATGCATTGTGGCCAGCCGTCTTTGATGGTACGGTACGGGACAGGCACGGTCGAGGGTTATACGACACCGTCTACCGCCTTGATGACATAGGCAAAAAAGCATAAGGATGTTATACATTTTTCAATTCTCCTATTCTATTTTTTCAGGCATAACCTGGGATTCGAACCAGCACTATCGCCCTAGATGCATTCCCCCATACACTTCGCATTCATACTCATTCTTCCAAGTTGCTTCACGCTATGATCTTGCGTTTGAAAGCCCTATTTGAATATTGCGGCCAGCTGTATGTGGCCAGCTGTGTTTGATGGTACGGTACGGGACAGATACGGGATAGCGCCAGGCGTGACACAAACACACAAACAAACAAACACACAAATACCAAATTAAAGCTGTGTGGACCGTGGCTAGCGCCAGACGTTACTGAAGTAACGTCTTCTGCATAGCTACGGGAATAAAGTCCACTAACACCATCAGTTACAGGGGTGTCTGAAGGTGTTATAGTGAGGTAAGGTCAGCCATCTGAAGTACAAGTTACTCGTGGGGGAGGGGTGGCTGAGCCGAAATTTTGGAAATTTAGAGTCCAAATCAGTGTATTTTATTGGTTCACGGAGTGGTACCTGGGGGCAAAAAGTGATACGGTTAATAGCGTAGTGACCGTAGCGTGTCCAACACCCCTGTGTCACATGACAATCAACTCATGCGATAACATTGCACGGCACTGACCGACGGTACTGACCTTCTACAACTAACTGGCTATCAGCTCTAGCAAGTCTTGGATGCGCACTCCAACAGCATTCCAACTTGGAATGTTCTTAGTTACATGATAACATAGGAGGGGAAGGTGAGCACAACCAAGACAAGCACAAGCTGAAAGTCTTAGCTGTGAAGGCCGATGTACATGCATGTCCATGACGATACTGGCAAGACCATTGGACAGTACGGTCAAACCAAGATTCAAGGACGCATAGCAACATAGCACACAACTTGCGTGGCTCTAAAGATTCAACATGCATGAGCTGATTGTCAAGTAACTGGTGGTGTTAGTGGACATTATAGCGTAACTTGTTGTTCCTACAAAATAACCAACAAGGCGTCGCAACCCATACCCGCTGAGCAATGACACAAATTCCACTAACAAGGCTAGGAGAAATTTATATTTTAGATTACAAGTCATACAGTACCTTATGCTGACCTTTCATACAAACTTCCAGTCAACTTGCTCATCATGCTGGCGGCTTATGTATATAATACAAACTAACCTTAGGTTTATATGTGGAATATAAACTGAACACAAACCGAGGCGAAGCCGAGGTTTGTGTGATAGTTTATATTCCACGTATAAACCTAAGAGTAGGTTGTAGTATATTTATACCAGCCTTTATACAAACCTCCATTCAACTCTACCGACTTTTTTGTGAGCAGTATCAGCCATTAATCATTACCCTTGTCTTCTACCGAAGAGATAGCCATTCTTCATTACTTGTGGAAGACAGTAGACTAGGCTACTAGCACTGTACAGCGGTTATGCATGAGTCAACACTGACAACAGTATCGCTTTACCTAGTCACTAAGCCAGTGCAGAGCTTCCTCCAAAAAGTGAGAACTTTCGTGACATTCTTTAGGTGACGACGTTGGAGAACACGGTCAACTGCTTGTTTCCATGGTGAATTTAGGCGCGCAAATTTGGGCGCGCTTTTTGAAGTTATAAGCAACTTGGGCACCCCATATCTGCCACTTCCTCCAGTTTGGCAGTTGTGGTAACATTGATTTCACTATGGATCCAGATCAGTCTGAAGATCCACCCAAGAAAAGAGTTTTCGGAGCGTCAACGAAGGAGGACCAGCAAAAACTCATCTCTGACGCTGTTCCAAAGAGTACACACTCAGCAACCCAGTATTGGGTACGGCTCTTCACTGATTACTGCAAAGATCAAAAGGCTTCGACTACGAACTTCTCCTCAATCCCTATTCCGGAGCTTTCAGACCTAGTTGGCTCTTTCTACGTCGATGCGAAGACGCGCCATGGAACTCCTTTCTCAAAGAACAGTCTTCTGGCAGCAAGAAGTGCTATACAGCGTCATCTGTCTTCTATGCGAGAAATCAACATATTCAGCGATGAAGCCTTTGCAAGGACCAACAAACTATTGGATGGTGTACTAAAGGCACGCAAGCGCGCAGGCAACGAACCAGCTGTAAGCACAAAGAACCACTGTCTGAAGACGATCTCGGAAAGCTGCGCACATATTTCGAGGATGTCGTCGAAACAACCGACGCGATCAAGCTGGCGTTCTACGTTTGGTACCAGCTAACTCTCCACTTCTGCCTCAGAGGTGGTGAAATGCAGTCAAAGCTAACGAAACGCGACCTCGTGTTTGAATCTATCGACGGACAAGACGTGCTCAGGCTTGGAACATCGTTTATGTCCAAGAATCACCAAGGGGGCTTGACAGGATCGGACTGGTCGTCAGCAGGAGTAATCAATGATCAAACGCAGCTGACAGCAATCAAGCGTTACCTTGACAAGCTTCACCCTGACCAAGATCGCTTGTTTCAGCGCGCTGTGAAACCTGGTAAGCTTCCTGCTGATATGTCATGTTGGTACACACGCTCACCGCTGTCGCACAATCTGTTAGCAGGAATGATGAAGAGATTGTCTGAGCTCGCTGATCTTTCCATGGCTTATACTAATCATTGTGTACGTGCCACTTGCATTACCAACATGAAGCGCAGTGGCATTGATGATAGGCGAATTTGCAGTGTGTCAGGCCATCGTAATGTTCAATCCTTATCTGCTTATGATCGCCCCACCACAAAAGATTCTTGCTCTATGGCTGCTGCTGTTGATCTTGGCTCTGTGAAAGCTGTTCCGCCTGCCACTTGCAAAGAGAATTTTCCACTGCACCCTTCATCCATAGCCACTTCTGTCCAGGCTAGCCCTGTTCAGAATAGTACTTCTACTGTGAGTTCATCTGCTTTGGCTCCCTATCTGAATGCTGCTGCTTCTACATTTCAGAACACATCTATTGTGTTCAACATTCATGCTGACCGTGCTAAGCAAGCTCGCAAAAAGCTAAAGAGAAAGCGCTCTACATCCGATTCTGCTGCCTAATCCTGCTGCTGACAGTGTTGTGGCCCTAAAAAAGGCGTTTATATTCAAGTTTATATTCAGGTTTATATTGTGATTTCAGGTTTATATTCAGGTTTATATTGAAAATATAAACTTGAAATCTCTGTTGAAGTTGAATGAGAGTTTGTATAAAAGGGTGGTATAAACTGGGCATATAAGCCTCATACCCCATACAAACCCCATATAGACCGCCACCATAGAAACAGGAAGAAGTTGACTGTCAGTTTGTATGAAGGTCAGCATAAGTATAATACATCCCACTAGTACGCTTGTACGTGAAATATAAACCATCAGTTACAGGGGCCGACATACAAACCTCGGCTTCGCCTCTGTTTGTATGTCGGTTTATATTTCACGTACAAGCGTACTGTTGGGTTGTATTATATACATAATTATTTTCCGGAGTATAAGCCGCACCCCCTCCCCCCCCCCCCACATTTTTTTGCCATGAAATACAGACATTTATTTGATGATCACTGCTATTTTGATCATTGGAATATAACCCATTCTTTTGGGTGAATTTTGCGTGTTCAAAGTGCGGCGTTGTCTCCAGAAAATACGGTACGTAATTCCAATACCATCGACATGACGGAAACCTCGTGCCCATGCACGGTCACTTTGTCTAGCCAACTCAACCACACACGAGAGTGTGTGCATGACTATACACACACACATACTTGAACCTTGAACTTGCCCATTGCCAGAGGCAATGATAGAGAAAGGACTAATATGGCGGCAACCGGCAGAAAGGTTCGTGGCACACAATACACACACGCACATACTGTACAAACACACACACACACACACATACACACACACACATACTGTACACACACACACACATACACACACACATACTGTACACACACACACACACATATACACGCACACACATGCTGTACACACACACCTTGACTTTGCCCATTGCGTAGCAATGATGGCGCATTGTTATTTCTCCAGTCCACGACAGAACGACTGATGACGTTTCAGGTCGCCGCTTCGACGGAACATGCGGCCGCAGGCGCACCCCGTAGCCAGCAGCAGAGGGTGCCTTGGGTGGTCGACGGCGAATGGTACGCCACTCCGGAAGGTTCTGGGCTGCACCGTACCATCAACATGTTGGTACCGGTGGCTCAACCGACGAAACGTCATCCATAATGACGTCCTCCACCTCTTGCGTGGACCATGCGCGGGGCGCGGGGCAGGCAGTTCACCGAAGAGAACACACTTGGGCAACCCGTAATTTTCCATCCGTGTCACGTGTCCAAGCCAGCGCAAACGCCGTTCCCGTACGATGTGACCAATGTCCTCAGGCACTCCAAGGGTCATTGCAAGGGCTGAGGATGCACACACACACACGCACACACACACACACACACACACACACACACACACACACACACACACACACAAACACACATACACACATACACACATACACACATACACACACACACTTGTACTTGTTGCTCACTTCCAAAACTGGTCACGTGGGTCTCCCCGGGAGAGGGGAGAGAGACTCAAAAGGAATCTTGGAAAGATGACTCCATTGGCTATTGAACCGCCCAATGGCTGAAACCCCCTGAAATCCCTAAAACTCTGGGTGGACTTGAACATGATCCCACTTATGGGCTCACCACACCTCAGTAAGTGGGCGAAGACAAGGTGCAGAAAAAGGATTGACGTAACCAGGGTATCCGTCCCGGGATCCAACTGCAGGTACCCCTGCCCCACCTCCCCAGTGAAGGTAATACTTGCTACTAGTGTGGGTGGCTAAATCAGAGTGGATCTGATATAAGCTTCACTAGCACCATTGATTACACAAGAGTTAATCTAGCCAGAAGCAGTCCATGGTTAAAGGGGAAGTATACCCTAAAATCAAATTTTCACCAGTTGTAGTCTTCGGGGTGCTGAGTCGAATGGTCTTGGTCCGAGGAAGCTGAGACGCTCCCTTCCTCCTTTATTCCCAATCGAACTCGCGCACTTCCACCGAAACTGGGTGACTGCGCCCTACTAGATGGGGATTTGTATGCAAATGTCACTAAAAGCGCCATTTCGTTCTTATAAAAGCACGGATGACCGCGATTGGCCCATATGTTGTAGTCTTTTGGACGCTGAGTCGACTGGTTTTGGTCCGAAAAGGCTGCGATGCAGCGTTCCTCCTTTATTCCCAATCGAACATGGTTGAACAAGCGGTCACGTGCTCCTGCGTACACCAGTCATTTGGTCACCGTGCCTGCAGGGTACAACTTACTAGCCTGTTTGACCTTTTTCGGGTGCAGTCCTGTCACTCGAGTTGAACTCGAGTTGAACCTTGGTGTGAAAGTTGTCTCCTGCTGGTGCGGTGACCAGGTGATTTGGGCACCCAGGAGCACGTGACCGCTTGTTCAACCATGTTCGATTGGGAATAAAGGAGGAACGCTGCATCGCAGCCTTTTCGGGCCAAAACCAGTCGACTCAGCGTCCAAAAGACTACAACATACGGGCCAATCGCGGTCATCCGTGCTTTTATAAGAACGAAATGGCGCTTTTAGTGACATTTTGCATACAAATCCCCATCTAGTAGGGCGCAGTCACCCAGTTTCGGTGGAAGTGCGCGAGTTCGATTGGGATTCAAGTAGGAAGGGAGCGTCGCAGCTTCCTCGGACCAAGACAATTCGACTCAGCACCCAGAAGACTACAACTGGTGAAAATTTGATTTTAGGGTATACTTCCCCTTTAACAGGCATAAGGCCATGGTAAAAAATAAAGTTGATTCTCAGGTCATGAGCCTGTGAAAATCGGTGCGAGCGAGCGATTTTTTATTTTAATTCCCACAATTTTTTTATTTCCAAAGATAGGGTCACACATGTGTACGTCACACGTTCATAATTAATTTATAATTATTTTATTATTCAGGCCATGGAGTAGAAAAATACCGGTATTTTACTACTCCCGGATTCATGCCTTTCGCATTGACCGTCTTCATGCACGCATATGCATGCATAGAAATAAAAAAATCGTCGGTGCGCCGCCAAAAATCGATGCGCGCGTACTTGAGAATCAAAGGTATTTTTTACCATGGCCTAATATACTTCAACTAGAAAGTATGAACCCTGAAAAGGTGGCAGATACAACATTACACCTTCAAGAAACCGAGCCCATTGGCAACAGAACCAACACAATCAGGCATAAGTGTACCCACCAACCGGACTAGCTGGCACACACACACACACACACACACACACACACACACACACACACACACACACACACACACAAACACACACACAACACACACACAACACACACACAAACACACACACACATACACCAGGTAATCGGAGCGTGTGGAGTGCCACTAACTGGAAAAATGAAGACGGAATACTAATCAGGATGTTACATGTATGTTTGAGTAAAACTTTTATTTTATCTTATTTCAAATTTCTTCCACACAATCAACTTACATGACATGTACTTACTTCCCATCATCTCAGTTTTCTTTTCTATCCATCCATCTGTACTCCATATCACTCCGTATCACTGTTGTAGAAATATTCCTCAATGTGTGTACTAGTCTCCACAGCCATGTGATGACACTTTGGGACATGTCCCTAACACCATAGCACACTCCAGTTGGTAGTTTTACATTTGCCCACATTATCTGTGACCACAACACGAAATGCATAGCGGCAATCAATGGATGAAGTGTTCATTGAAGAGAGAGAGAGAGAGTTTGTAGATACACGTATCTTTCCACTTTTTCAGCAGCTTACCGTCTTCAGCTCACATCCTATACGAGATCTCTCACGCTGGCTTGCACCTTGGCTCTGTTGACTTTGGATGCGACATCGCAGAAAACATTCTACACTACAGGAGCTGCTAATGCAGAGCGTTTTTTCACGCTCGATCCCGGTGCTCCACCTCGTTCCGCCGTTGGTGACACTGACCACGGTCACAAGAGATGTCTCAGTAAGGTAACGAGCACCACAACACTGTCGAGATCAATGAGAAAGAGAAAACACTGAAAACAACAAAGAAGAATCAAAGTCAAGTACCGTACTGGCAATATATGTTGCCGCGTAACGCGTAACGCAGGGGGGTGCGGCGTAACGCGCGACCAGGCTAGTGCGACAAATTTTCGTTGAGTTCGTAACGCGCGTCCGGCGGGGTGCGGCGATCTTTTCATTGCAGTTTGCACTGAACAAGAAAAAATGATGCGGCAAAAGCAAAAAAATGATGCGGCAATAGCAAAAAAGTGATGCGGCAATAGCAAAAAAAAGGACTGCGGCAATATAGAAACCTGTGTAACGCCTACTAACGGCTCCTGTGCGACTTTGCATGTAACGCCCTGCGTGCGGCAAACATGTGCCAATGTAACGCTTCATGGCCTCACTGCGGCAACATATATTGCCAGTACGGTACATCTGATCTATGCGACTTGCATGTGTTGCCACTGGCAACTGGTTCGGTGGAGAGGACGATTTCTTTTGCGATTTTAGTACAGTGTGCATGGACCGTTGCTATGCGCATCGAAGGAACCGTGACCATGGTGACGTCGGACGTCCTGTATTTTTCCGTGGCGCTTGATCTCCAGCCCAGACCACTTGGAGTCGGACTGGGTCTGTCGGTGCCCGGCGGTGGATTCACCATGCATGTAACTCACTCGTTGAGTCAGTGTTGTCACGGACGTGAGGCCTTTGGCTTTGGCTTTGGAGCTGGTCCGAGATAGTTTTTTTTTAGTTTTCTGTCTTGGATTCCTGTCTAACTGATAAGAGTGGTAGTCGTCGGTCTGCAGGCCCCCGCAGAGTTAGGAACTCATTTCGTTGCACGCTAGCTCAGTGACTTCTAGAACCAGTTGAACAATCGCCAAGTAGAAGCCCAGCCACTGTTTGAAACTTTGAACGCGTACTTTGTAATTGTAACTAACGTTCCTTGCGCAGACCATCGCTCACCAATACTCCAGGCATTAGTCCGACTGTCCGTATACGAGTTGAGCGGACACTGCGAGTCTTTTGGACAGTGCTAGCGGATCAAATCGAACTAACTAACTTGAATGAAGTTTAGTCTTCTACATGTCCTGGAGTAGATTCTAGCCTCGTTGTTCTTCCTACACACGCTGTCAAAGTTGATTACCTGTATCAGTATACTGCAGTGTTGAGTGGAGACGAGTGTGAAGGTTAGTACATGGAGCCGGGGACCGACTCATCCATGCAGTGGCGTATGAAGATGTTTTGGTTTGGGGGGGGGGGGGGGGGGCTGACTTGCTGGCAATGACCTTGATGTATGTTGGGCTATGCTAGTACCTATTGTGCGTATGTACCTGTGTACCGGTAATCCTTCTACGGAGATTTGTATGCTTGTGTAAAAGTATGTGACAACACATCATGATATAGGTGCTGCACTACACTGGACATGTACATAATATGACTGTGTGTGGAGCAATCGTGAAAACCCAGTACTGCACTACTACTGGAATCTGGACAAGAATAATGAAAATGCTGTACATGTCGATGTACATGTACGTTGAACACCAGGGATTGCACACAGCCACCACTGGATATGTAGCTCTGACTGACAGCCTGGCCAAAGTTCAAAGGGAAATTTACTGGAAAGCGTAATACCGGTACATCGGTAATGGTGAAAGAGAGTCGACCATAAAAGCAAAACTTACTGGCAAAGGCAGAGAGATACTTGTAAGCTGATGTTCAAGACTTCCCTTATTTTGGCTATTGCAAACAAGAACCTCGGACACTTGAAGGAATCTTCTCCTGCCAGTGATAAGAAGTATTGCAATGTAGTGCCGTATTTCCTCGATTAATAGACCCGGTCTTTTGTTTTTTGAAGAGGGTTGGACCCCCGGTCTCTTATTTGGGCATGGTCCATTATTTGAGCACGGTCCACTATATTTTCATCGGCACATCGCTGGATATGCTGGATTTTTAACACGTCATAATATAGAATATAGAACTTGTGCAACGCTCACTGCTCTTGGAGCATTTCGAGCACTCTTGGCGGGGTTTGCAGCTCTTTATAAAAATGCTTTGCTTTACGGGAACGTATTTCATTGCGAAGAGCTGCGCTTCGGTTCTCTGAGCTGTGCTGATGAGCTCTTACAGAGCGAAACAGTTGCTGTCCACAGACTTGAATATAGAACTTCTATATTATGACGTGTTAAAGGGGAAGTTAAGGCAAAAATTGAAATTTCACCAGTTGTAGTCTTCGGGGTGCTGAGTCGAATGGTCGTGGTCCGAGGAAGCTGAGACGCTCCCTTCCTACTTGAATCCCAATCGAACTCGCGCACTTCCACCGAAACTGGGTGACTGCGCCCTACTAGATGGGGATTTGTATGCAAAATGTCACTAAAAGCGCCATTTCGTTCTTATAAAAGCACGGATGACCGCGATTGGCCCATATGTTGTAGTCTTTGGGACGCTGAGTCGACTGGTTTTGGTCCGAAAAGGCTGCGATGCGGCGTTCCTCCTTTATTCCCAATCGAACATGGTTGAAGAAGCGGTCACGTGCTCCTGCGTACACCAGTCACCTGGTCACCGTGCCTGCAGGGTACAACTTACTAGCCTGTTTGACCTTTTTTGGGTGCAGTCCTGTCACTCGAGTTGAACCCGAGTTGAACCTTGGTGTGAAAGTTGTCACCTGCTGGCGTGGTGACCAGGTGATTTGGGCACCCAGGACCACGTGACCGCTTCTTCAACCATGTTCGATTGGGAATAAAGGAGGAACGCTGCATCGCAGCCTTTTCGGACCAAAACCAGCCGACTCAGCGTCCAAAAGACTACAACATATGGGCCAATCGCGGTCATCCGTGCTTTTATAAGAACGAAATGGCGCTTTTAGTGGCATTTTGCATATAAATCCCCATCTCGTAGGGCGCAGTCACCCAGTTTCGGTGGAAGTGCGCGAGTTCGATTGGGATTCAAGTAGGAAGGGAGCGTCTCAGCTTCCTCGGACCAAGACCATTCGACTCAGCACCCCGAAGACTACAACTGGTGAAATTTTAATTTTTGCCTTAACTTCCCCTTTAAAAATCCACCATTTCCAGCGATGTGCCGATGAAAATATAGTGGACCGTGCTCAAATAATGACTTCTATATTACAAAATTTAATAATGAAAGAATGCACTAGCCACTACAAAAATTGTAGTTGCGCAACCTAAAATCGTGTCCTTTATTGATCCACCACGTGCTTTCTTAGTGCGCATGCGCAAAGCGATGAACTCAAATAAGAGACCGGGTCTCTTATTCGGGCATGGTCTACTATTTTTCCGTGAGGCCTCAAGGAAGGTCTACTATTTGAGCATGGTCTATTATTCGAGCATGGTCCATTAATCGAGGAAATACGGTATGTTCCACTGATAACAGATTTTCCACAATGACTAATGTGACCCTGGTGAATTCTTTAGGAGGTCATTGAATTATGGCTGCAAGCCTCGATCGGGCTCAGTTTCTAATGAAAATGTTGAAATTTATGACCACCGCCCAAGAGTTTGGTGGTCGTATCTTGCAATCTTTGTCTCCGAGAACTACTGTGCTTATAACAGTCAGTCTCGAAATCTTTTCTGGAAAGTGGCTTTCTTCAGAACGCTGCGGTATAGCAATGAGAAGCACTGACTCCGAGTAAAGGAAAGTTCTCTTGCCTTTCCGATTTTGAAGAAAACTGCCCATGAAAAACAACGCTTCATTAGCTGCTACGATGCAAAAACAACCAAGGGATGATCTAGTGAGTGTGCTTCACGCCGGTGACACGCACATTCTTTTAGATCTGAAAAAGTGGAGACTTATGACTGTAGTGATGTCACTTCTCTGCGGTTGATGTCACAGTATAAGAATTAGCAGAGAAGTAGTGTTCTCTGTCCTCCCAGGAACGGGTATGAGGGAGCACGGTGTGGGATAAAAGGAGGTGACGAGTGCAGGGTCGACTTCTTTTGTCTTTGTGCGGAGAGTTGAGTGAGAGTGCCCACCCACCCACCCCAGTGATCATCATGTAATTTCAGAATATATATATCATCGCTTTTATTTTTCTAGAGTTGTGTGGCTGCATAAGGCCACACGTTTTTATTTCTATGTTTCTCGTCACCTGAAAATCGAAAAACGTATGCGAGAGGTGGAAAAAATTAAAATGACCGAAAAATAAAAAAAAGTTTATTAGACCTTTGTTGACACTAAAATCCACCAATACACCATGCAAAATAGCATCCATAGTTAACACCTAGTATGTGCTCTTTAATTCTTGCATTATCCCATTATGACCATGCTTAAAGACGCAGCGTCTTTTCAGAAGTATTTTGATCTTCTTTTCAGCAAACGGCCTCATTGATCTGCATCGCTTGTATTGTAAACCTGTGTTTACTGCTTACTGCTTACTGCTGCTTTATTGTTCCAAATATCAGTTTAGTTTAGTTTAAATATCTCTTATTATTATTATTATTATTTTTCCTCACCCCACACCCCTCTCAGTACTCAGTTATTGGCCCTCTTAAGAGTTGTGTTCATCACTGTTGAGGCTTCCGATGGAAAATAAAAGAATACTACTACTACTATGTGGTAGGAGCTTCTGTCACAATCTGTGCATGTGCAGCTAGATTGCGCACAAAAAATGGCGACCTCGTATCATGTGTCGCGCAGGCCAGGCCACATTATGTCCATGTGCATGAGTGTGCTGGTCCCCACATGCACGGTCAATGCAGCACATGTTTTTATTTTTTCCTCCAGACTCCTGAATCGTATGCGCGCGGGTGACGAGAAACATAGAAATAAAAACGTGTGGCCTAATGGTCTAACGTGTTGGGAGTTTTTTGTTGGACTAAGCAATGGTTTTGTATAGTCCTGACCACGGAACTGTGTGCAAAGACGATAAGTTGGGGCGATGTGCGGTGGTGGCACCCACTGGCAATATGGACGTGTTCAATAGTGGTGTACACGTATGAGTGAATGTGCGGATGTGTGCGAAACGAGTGGAGTGCAGGGTGGAGAGAGAAATGATTATGTACATACATGTACATGAATGACTGCAGGGTCAGCTCTGAC